AGGGTATATTTTGGTTGTTAACCACCAACTTCTTATTCACCCCTCACCCCATGGTGCCGGATGTTCTCACCCAGCGGTTTTATGTAGATATTAAATAGGTGAGGAGAAAGCACTGACCCCTGTGGCACCCCACAAAGTAGGGGCCGGGGGCTGGACCTCTCGCTCCCTATCAACACCGATCTTTATGGCATATACCATAATGCATCTGTCTGTTTACCCAGTTACCCTCTTATAAGTCTACTAAGCAAATTACACACAAAGGTTGGTCAAGTTTAAGTTCTGTAAGGAGGAACTGCACCTAAATGAACTTTTATTGCTTTTATGGGTCACTCCTTGAGGGTCTACCACCTGGGCCAGGTTTCACAAAATGATACAAAAGTGGAGCCAAACATACTGACCTGCTTTATCCCTTGAGTCACAATGTGACGCATGAATTCATAACCAGGAATTTACATTCCTTGCAGATCAAAAAATCCAACATCAACTCCTAAAAACACTTTATAATCTGTGAGCGATTCAGTTACATACCTCAATCTTTACTACCTCACTGCAAAGGAAGCACTGATTTTTTTCCCAGTGGTAGTAGCCAACCTTTTTGGCAAAATGAACCATTAAGAGACAATAGTATAATTTTAGCATGCCTACAATACCAATATCAAGGAGTAGCAGAAAGATCAATATATAAGTTTGTGCTCTCTAGAGTATACTACGTGCAATAGTGCAGAGACAGGAAAGGAAACGTTGGAGAACGTCTATGCTATTTTAAATGAGTTTACATTTCTAGGACCGGGTAAAAAGGACACCTCTGGGTGCTGAAGGGGCCTGAAGAAGCTATTTCTAGGCCCTGTGTGAGGATTTCTGGAGTGTGATGAGTTGGAGGATAGAAGATGGGTAAATTACATAGCCAATCCTGGAAATTTCAAGCCAGTCTGCTTGTCATATCTGCCCTGGGTTCTTCGGAGGAAGGATTGTTAGAAAGTGAGAATGAGGAGCCAGGTTATGTGTTGTGACCCAGAGCTCAGGACATGGAGTGAAGGCAATAGCAAAAACCAGTTGAGCAACATCCTCAGACTCTGCAGCTCCAATGTGACCCCTCTTGTATCCAATATATCATAGCTTAGTTCCTACAAAGTTGCCCAAATAACTCTGGCTATAGTCTCTCTGATTTACTGAGTCTCACCCATGACTGACTATCCTTTTGAACCCTGGACCTCCATCGAACAGAACAATATTAGAACCCATCCTGGATTAACTACTTGTCAGGAAAGAGCTGCTTGACCAGGGCACAGCCTGCCTCAATATGCAATGGGTTCACTGTTTCTAGAGATCAAAGACTGTAGGGCCATCTTTTAAGGATCTTAGTTCTATCCCACATGTAGAGCAGGGGACAAATCAGACAATTTTCAAGAACCCGTCCAATTCTATGGACCCACTGAGGCAGCAAGATGGTATGGCCAGAAACACTGGGAGGAGAAAGGAACCAAAAGGATGCCTGGATGGGGAAAGCTGAGAGAGAGGAAGTTGGCTGAACAGAAGGGTTTCTAACAATACTTTTCAGCCAGATAAAATAACCTTTATCTGTTTTATTTTGAGGTACAATTGAGGGGTACCTGCCTCCACATGTTTAAATTATAGAATCCAAAAGATTGCATTTTAGTGTAAGGATATCATGCCAACATCAAAACAAACAGGGCCAATTCCTTAGAAATCAGAACTAGAGAAACGGTCAAATGTTACACTTTAGCACTCAGAAAGAAAGAAAAAAAAATCACAACCATTACTTGAGCCCGCCAGCAAGGCAACTGGGCACAAACTACTCAAGACTTCGCCATGCTTTATCAGGTCGGTGACCGGGAACGTTTTAAGTGACTGGCCAGGCTGGATAGAGCAGAATCGTGCGGAGGGTTAAATTATTTTGGCTTCCCCAACCCCCCGCCTCGCTCTATAATTGGGGCGCAAGGCAGCCCTGCGAGGGTCCCATTCGGCGCAAAGAAACCACGGGGGAGGCGGGAAGGGGGCGACGGAAGTTGGAACGTTCCTCAGCTAAAAGCCGCTCGTTCCAAAAAAAGGGGAACTGTACCGACATGGACGGCGCAATGCCTCCGGTTGGAAAGACACGAGCACTGATCCTGGTGATGGAACACAAGGCTCCCATTATAAGATCTTAGCTGAAGCACGAGACCCGAAGGGCCGAAGCAGCACCCGGCCTTCCATTATGGGCAACGGGATCAGGACGCAGATTTGGAGAATATCCGAAGGGATGAGCAGCAAACGCCAGACGCTTCGCAGCCTCCGGACTGAGGAAGGGGCAAAGCGCGGCATGCAAAGTCAGGGATGGTTATTGCTCGAGGATGCCGAGGCCACCGAGGGGGCGAGCGAAAGCGCACCTGCTGGTAGTCGTTGTCCCTCGGGCGGAAGGCGCTGGGCACGGGTTGCAGGCTCAGACTCAAATGGGGGAGCCCGTGCAGCCAGGATGTCCACCAGGGCGCGAGGTACTCGGCCCGCGCCGCCAGCAACATCGCTCCCGTTCCTGCTGCCGCAGTGGGCCCCCGAAGCAGCCGCTCGCACTCGCTCCCGCCGGTCCACGCCGCACGCTGACCGGGGCCCTGCCGCCCGCGTGCTGCCTGGCTGAGCTCACACCCGCCAGACCCCGCCCCTTCTTTTCTTTTCTTCGAGCGGCAAAGGGCGCGGAGCCTTTATGGGCTGGAGCCGACGCCCCCTGCAGGTTGCCGGGGCCGGTGCTCAAAGGGTCGCTGGGCGGATGCCGTCCTGCTCGGCCCTCTTTCTGCGGTCGGTCGGGGGCGCGACGTATGGTCTCAATCCCACAGCACAGTGGTTCTGCTTGCCTTCGGTTTGCTTGCCCGCCCACTAAATCTTGTCTCCAGTCGAAAGGGCTTTTTTTCTTCCCGCCTGGAGGATGTCCTCACCACAGGGAAACCCACTAGTGCCAAGCTATAAGTATCACACAGGAGATGTTTAAGGGGCGTGTGTGTGGGAGGAGCAGAGGGGGTTACTGCTCCTGCCGCCTCCCTCCATCTGAAGTAGTGTGCAGAATTTGAAACCCTCAGATGGCTTTTTCATTCCAAGTAGTAAACAAGTTAGAATATAATGCCAAGTTATTTCAGGTTTCCCCACATGCTCCTAATTACTGGGCAACTGTCTTCAATGAAAAAAAAAATAGAGGAAAAATTATACAGACATATAATGCAGTGCGCATAATTTAATCTTACTTTTTAAAGTGCTCTGGCTTAAAAAAAAACATTTTAATTAATTCAGGAATATGCTCCATTATCTGCAATATTTAAACTCTTGTTAGCTTTGCTTGTTTTGTTTTGATTCACTGCTTTGTCATAAACACCATGAAAGTGTGGATGAAAGAAGGTATATAAATCCTTATACACTCTGTTCACCTTTTCCATGAGGCTTTACTCTGATCTCCTCCCCCTCAAGCCCAACTGTTTCACCACACAGCTTGTCTTTGGCATCAGCTCCAGCAGCATGACTGAAGCATGGACAGAGATGCATAAATTGAAAAAGAGAAATTTGCAGACACAGCTAAACAAGTAACTTGTTTTTCCATGAACCCCTCTGAGGAAGAATATAGAAGAGATGCTGGTGAGTCCCTGTCAGGTCCTCTTCTCCAGATTCTTCTTTTGTTTCTGAACGCCTAAGTAAGAGCTCAGGCTGACAGTATCCGTCAGTGGGCCAGGTTTGACCAAAGGACCGCCAGTTGTAGCTCCTTATTTAATTATTTAAATTTTAAAAAATACAATCTTAATACAATACACATAATTTATAAAATTGCTACCTGTTCTTTCTCTTCACCCCTAAAATGTATACTATGAAAATGCTGTCCCCAGCTTGTTTCTACAGGCATTTATTTTTAACTTCGCGGAGTAAATTGCACAGGGTTTCAGATGGATCTACATGTGTACACATTTATAGTTGTGTGCATACATCAGTCAGGGCAAGCTCGTCTGCCTGCCTCTGAATCACTGACAGCATTACTTTTATATGCATCATCAGTACACGTAGGATTTTATCGAGTTGTACAACAACAACAAAAGGCAGAACCCTGACAGATGCTCAGCCTCCTCACAGTAAATTTGAAGAGGAGAGTGAAGCTAAAGGCTGGTGCTGTAGTTAATGAAGCCAGCACCATTTTCATTTCTGTTGTAAGTGTGTAAAATGAGATTTGCTCTTCCGCCTTATGGATAAGGGAAAGAAGGATAAATGGAAAATAGGGGATTTTAAAGAAACTGCAAGAAAGACCTCTTTGTAAGAGGATACATTTTAGAACAGCAACCCCATGTGCTCATACAAACCAAGCTAACTCAGAGCTATTGCCAGAAGTAAAATACTAATCGGAGCTTACTGAAATGTGCTGAACCAAGATGCTAAATTCTGTGTGCAAGACTGGATTATTCTGCCCTGTGATAATTGTAAAGCTGCCCTTTGGAAGCACTTTCCACTGGAGAAAGAGAAGGGCCAATAATCTCATAACTTATTTAAGCACCATACACAAGCAATCTTCTGGGTCTAGTCTGTTCATCAAGCAGGCTGCTCTTCCATCTATAGATATTTAGCCAAAGAGATGGAGAAGGAGCACAGAGTCAGCCACGGGGCAAAGTTGCTGTTGTCTGCTGCCGTTCATGACCACACTGTAAACCTTTTCATGGTTAGAAGGTGAGTCTTGAGGAAATTACTTGTCCAGCTTAACTTAACCAAGGATGAAACAGTATTTCCCACCCTAATTCCCCTGAAGACTGATATTCAGCAAAAACAAAGAATGGTGAAGTAATATTACTTCCATGGACACTAATTGAGGAAAGCAGGAATGGCTAATTCATTTCATTCAGGGCTATTTTCTTTTCTGCAGGAGATTTCTCTTGGACTTCTGAAAAAAGTACTTGTGTAAATGAATGCAGGCCTATATAACCTAGTTAAATCGACCTTAAGTGTTCCCTTTCCCCTTCATGGATCACTGCCTTGTCGTGGCAAAGGGGCTTGCGTAACTCAGTGAAGCC